ACTTCCTGACAGCTGTGTGTGTGTGTGTGTGTGTGTGTGTGTGTGTAGTAGTAGTAGTAGTAGTAGTAGTAGTAGTAGTAGTAGTAGTAGTAGTAGTAGTAGTAGTAGTAGTAGTAGTAGTAGTAGTAGTAGTAGAAGTTGTAGTTGTAGTTGTAGTAGCAGTAGTAGTAGTAGTAGTAGCTATAGTAGCAGTAGTAGTAGTGGTGTTGGTAGTAGTAATAGTCGTAGTAATAATACTTTTCTCATCTTAAATGCTGTTTATAATTTAATCTAAAAACTTCAGGGCAAAACTTATCTCCAGTACATTTTGATGTTATCACGAGGCTAGACAGACTAAACCTAGCGTGATATGAGCCATATTTGTCTTTTTAAAAATAATGATAATGTAATCGGTCACTTTGATGATACATGCGACAATAATGCTGTGAACCTAAAAAAAATTATATTTATAAAGTTTAAAATTATTTTGAATTTGCACGAGGCTGCCTCCTCTGAATAAATAACAAAAAGGCACAATACCGTGACTGGAACGATACACAAATAACCCGCACATAAAAGAGAGAAGCTTACGACGACGTTTCGGTCCGACTTGGACCATGTTATTTGTGTACTGCCTCCTCTGGAAATCCGTCTCATTCTTTCAGGGCTACGAGAAATGGTTACCATCTGCTGCCATCACATCAATGGATAAGAGCATAAGAAAGAAGGAATACTACAGCAGGCCTACTGGCCCATATGAGGCAGGTCCAAGTCTCCTACCGGCTTAAGCCAATGCCCCAACCTAGTAAGGTCAGGTCACATTCACTTAAGGAAGGAACACGGCAACTCGTTAAGACACCAGAAACTGCATTAAGTGGTAAGACCCAACGGAGAATTTTTTAATTATGTGCTGACAAGACTACTACTGAATGAGTGGCGGTGAGTGTATTTCCATTTTTGGGTGCGTCTGGCCGTGTGGAAATTAGATAGGAAGATAGGTACGAGGAACCCACTGGAAATAAGTCACTAACTTTTTTGGGGTTATACTAGGTAATAATCCGGTAGGGGACTTGGACCTGCCTCGCATGGGCCAGTAGGCCTGCTGCAGTGTTCCTTCTTTCTTATGTTCTTATGCAATTTACACATATGTATGTATGATAATTTGTTTAACTGTATTTATGTATACCTGTACCTAAATAAACTTATTTATTAGGCGCGTGCACGCATGCACCCGTACGTGAATAAGTGCGTGTGTACGAACGTACAAGTAAGAGTATGTCACTTCGAGGACGGCCAGGCAGGCCATGGGTCTCCGTGTATGCTACCATTGACGGGGGAGAGAGGGACGCCCACATGTGTCGTGGGAGGGAGGTTAGGACACATGGCCTGCTGAGGAAACCCAAGCTACTTTTCTCCCACCCCCTGGCCCGGCCTCCCAGCAGCAACCACGCGGTACTTCCACGCTCCCTTGCGTTACGTCGCTGCCCTGTCTTAGTAACCGCGGCTCCTGTCCTCATGTGACCGTTGCCACAGCACGGGAAAGAAAGACCACTTCTAAGAAGGGTCCCCAACGTATAGTGGGGCTCCCGTGACGTCATTTACACCACTTCTAAGGCTTCCGATATCTAGCTGGGTTCCTGTGACGTCAGTTTACATCACCTCTGAGGCTTCCGACGTCTAGCTGGGCTCTCGTGACATCGACATACGCCACAGGACGGGAAAGAAAGCTCACTTCTGAGGGTGCCAACGTATAGCAGGACCAATGTGACACCACAGAGGTAGCACCTCTTTGTCATCCTCAAATGAGGTTTGGCGATGCTTTACCAAACTACATTTAGTGTCCCTTACCTTCTGGGTATTGCAACATGGCAGAGAGCAAGACGACCCTTACAACACCACACAGATGCCATCTCCTGAGGAGTAACTACAGCCTGCCTCTACCTACATTAATACGAGAGTAATTAGGCAAAAAAAAAAACTGTTTGGGGCAGTTGGGTAAGGTAGTAAGGCCTTCAAGAGTCGTATTTGGCGCGGGGATGCGTGGGCGTGGCCTAGGTCGTGGGAACCAACCAGCGGGCGCCTCCCTCCGCCCGCGCACTAAATAACTGACGATCGAACTTGCTCTTTGTGAATTGACAGGGGACGCACAGATTTTATCACTCGTGGAAAGTGGTCTATTTTACTGATCTCTGTGCAATTACGTCTGTTTTAACTGTGAGTATGTGAAAGACTATTGTCCTCTCCTTAACTTTATGTTGAATGTATTGAAGTTTCCTTAAGCAAAAGTGTGAAAATATCAATAATAGAAACGAAGGCGCTGCGCGCCAGCCTCTGGGTCCGCCTTGCTGGGTGATTGTAGCAGTATTTGTTTGGTGTGATTGAAGTAGGACGTTGGGAGGGACGCAAGCCAGCCAGCCAGCCAGCCCAGCTTCACTCTTTTCAAAGCTTGAGTCCTCCCCCCTCCCCAATGTCCCCCTCCCCGCCATGTGACCGGGCCGCGCGCGCGAGAATTTTACGCGTTTTCGTTTGGAGTTTAGAATTGTAATTGATTTATGGTCGCGTGATGATTGATGGCCTCTATGATTATGAGGCACCTAGATGGGCACTACTGTTGTCTTTTGAGTAATTAGCATAGGAACTCACCACACTGTCCGAAGATAAACATACTAGAACGGGAAAAACAAACTTGGGAAGTTCAAATCACGAAACCAATGGAGGAAACATTTCCACGATTGCGGATAATACTGGTCGGGTGGGAGGCAGGCAAGAGAGGCGGCAGCAGGGGCCCTACTCCCCGGCTTAGAGCGCCCGGCTGCCTTCACCACCATCACCAGCAGTCGCAGGCTTGGTCGCCACCGTTGCACACCGCGTAGGCCCCAACACGCAAGGCTTGGTGCTGGTGTTGCGTGGCTGTGTTCTCTAGTTGCTCTCTCGCTGGATTGTAAGTGTGAATTTATACGTATATATATATATAGATACAGTGTGCGTTTAGTGTGTGGTAGTAGCGTGTACTGCCAGTGGTATTGATTACTTACGAGATGAGGTGAGCTACGCTTGGACAGTGACAGTGACCATCGGGGTTAGAGGAAGGGGATGCGGTGAGGCAGGGGTTGGGGGAGTAGGGTGGCAGGGGTGAGGGGTGGGTCTAGGGGAGGCCGAGGGACAAAGGGCTGTAGGTGGTGGAGGTGGAGGGGGGAGGGGTTCTAGGGATCCTGATGGAGGGGGGAAGGGGGAGGCAGCAGCAGCAGGGTGATGGTGGTGGCTAATGGGGGGTTAGAGGGATCACGTCTTGACCCCCACCCCTCCAAGTAGTCACCCCCGCCCACCTACCACCCCCGCACCGTTTCCGGCCTGCACTCGTACGGTGTCTGGACAAGCGGGTCTTGTCCCTGCTGCCTGGCCTGCTCTCCTCGACCACAACTCCCACGCCACGCATGGTCGCCGCTCCAAAGTCTCCGTCTTAACCCACAGTGTCTTGTTCCTCTGGCGTGACGCCTTCTCCTCAGTACTGCTCAACATCTCGGGCTCTCTATCATCCTCGCCTCCTTTGACGGTAAAACATCCTAGTGAGTGTCACAACACTGCTCCAGCTTTATGAGGGGGTGAAATATTGTCGTGATGCTTTCTACTTTAACGAAAACCAAGTAAATACGTGTGTATGTCTAACGACGCTAAAATTCAGTGACAATATCTTACAGTGTTTGGGCCAGTAACAACAGCTGATTATGAACCAGTGTCAGATTTCAGGAAATCAATGACCTGCATCATATCATGTATGACCGCTGGCCGAACCATCCGTGTCAAAATTGTAAGGGTACGGCGAGAGCGTAGAGTGAGCCACGTGCTGTACTCTTGTTGTGGGTGTAGCGACAACATGTTACGTAAGGTGTTGCGAGTTATGGTGGAAACAGCAGCACGCGGTGTGAGCCTGGCCAGGCGGACAACACTGCTGTTGTACCCTAGCTGCTACAGGAGAAGCTGATGCCACTGTAAAGGCAGAACAGCGACTCGGGGAAAGGGGGAAGAGGTTGTGTGCTCTTCGGCAGGAGAGTGGCGCCCTTTGGCCAATCCCGAACTTCACGTGCTGTAACTCAGCAAAATTGTGGGGAAATGCTACCTCACATCATGACTAGGTAATGTGGACTTCCAAGTTTACATCTCCGATAAACTTGGACGGAAATCGCCGTCATATTTTAGCCTTTTTCCATGATGCCGGATACACAGAGGCAAAACATGACCACTACTCCCAACTCACTCCCTTGCAGTTGCTTCTCACACAGTTTACGACTTAAATTTATCCCGCTCAACAAAAAAGAAAAAAATATCTTGTTGGTACAATAAAAAACATTCGCACATTTTTGGTTTGCATTCAGCTCAGTAAATTAAAATTCTCACTCCAACCTTGGATATAAAGGAGAGAGTATTTTCTTAATTTTTTCTATCGAATTTGCGGAAAGAAACGTTGCCATTGCGGTGAAAAGCGAGGGACAGCAATCGCTGTTATAGAGGAAAGGAAAATGTATTTCTGGACTTCATAGAGAGAGCTTATTTTTGGGTATCTTTGAAAGTGTCGCCTATTTTTTATTTTTATTAAGCAATACTTTGTATAACGCAGTGTGCGGCTGCCTTACTTTATATAGCATAAGAACAGTTACAGTGTGGGAACTACATAAAGTAATAACTCAGCCTGAAGTGGGAGACTTCAGCAGGACAAGGAGGATATCGTCAAGCATTTCATTAATTGTTTAGTAGCAACAGAAGCTTCAAAAAATATGATCCAGGAGAGCTGGAGTTACTTTTACTTCTGTTACCATTTCACATCATGACGTCCCATACACGAGAATTGGAATTTATGAAGATGTCTTAAAGCATTAGAGAGCAAGACTACAAAAAGTAGAAAATATACCAAAAAAATTACTAAACTACATCTATATATCGCAAAATACATCATACCTAGAGATACAGTGTAAATTCATTGTTGCAGTGACCTCGCGACAACCAGCTTGAACATCACAAAAATCTACTGTACTTAACATTACGTAACACCAAACAAACTGAGCACAATGTAACATTAATTTATAATTGGCAAGATGGGAGGATATCATCAAACATTTCCCTCATGCTTCATTAGCTGATAGTTTTAAAGGTTTCGTTATAGCAGGGATGGAGTCCTTATTACCTGGGAGTTACCATCTGGCTGAAATTTTTATGCTGGGAGAATAAAAGTGAAGGTATGAAGGCAATGATTCGAGGAGCCTAGGTTATTTTTTTTGTTAAATTTTAATTAATATTAGTTGATGCAGAGAGTTGGATTTACCTTCCCCTTCCTCGTATCAAATCTAGTTCCCTCCCATTTCCAAAGCGTAGTACGACACATGTTTACTTTAATGAGGGGGTCATAACACCTGGGGAAATGGGAGGCATTGGGGGGGGGATAAGTCCAGCTCCTTGCATCAAGAGCCTCTCACCAGCGTCGAGGAGTTATGGGTTTATTTATCACTTTCCTATGAAGGTGATAATGATTAATACTAATTATGTGTAGGAAGATAGTGCCGGGCATGATGGTACCAGCCAAACCTGTAACACCTCGACAGTCACTTCCAGCTGTTCAACATCTAGATATAACAAATATAAACTGCTCAGGGTAAAAAATGTTATATGATACGGACAAAATGAAATCACTTGAGTGACCAAGGTCGCAGGACAGTAACGTTTCCAGTAAAATGTTTTAGTATTTTCATTTTATATCTTTTTTAATAAAATGCTTATGCTGTTACCGTGTTTGGGTGTCAGAAGAGCTGTCTTTTAAAGAGCTGGTCCAGGTCAGTGGTGACTCCTCCTTGTGTTGGAAGCTTGTCTTCCTTGTTTAGAGGATATACCATGCCGCTTTATTGTGTTTAATGCTGGTTTTATAATGCATGATAATTTTCAAGTGTTTGTGTTAATTTTCAAGTGTATCTCGCTGTACATTTTCAAGTTTTTGTGCAAATTTTTAAGTGCATTTCAGTGTTGATTTTCCGGTGTTACTTGCATTTTATTGTGTTGATTTACCAGTGTGTTTGTTGCATTTGTTGTAGATTTATTTATTCGGGAAAATCACCTGACGTCTGCCTTAATTGTAAGATGATCCGCCTAATTGCATTTCAGTGTTATTATTCATGTTACAATTACTTCCCATGTATTTCAGTGTTTGCGTTTTCAGTGTATTTTTTATGTTTGATTTGTCTTAACAAAATATTTCGATGCGGTTGAATAGAATGTCTAATTGTTTGCGTTGATCTTCCATTTCCAGGGCATTTCCCGCATAGTTACTCGCGGTTCAGTGTTTTAGAATAATGTCCTTCAAAGAGGGTTGCCTCGATCCTAGTGAAGTATCTTAGTTCTAAACAATTCGAACACCCCCACTTCCTCGGCAAGGTCGCCGATACATGATAAATTTTGGTAGGCCAGCGGCAGCAACAGCCAGGTTGTTCAGGCAAGCACCAGACAAGCCTGGTCCAGGACTTGGCTGCGGGAGTAGGAAAACTCTCGAAACCTGTCATAGGTTCTCTCGCCTACCATTTAACCAGTATAACCTTCACTGGTTTAGTCCTTCCTCATGAATATAATTTAGATTACGATGTTCCAGGAGTGAGTTCGTGGTATTGTTGCTCTTTGCCAATTATTTCAGCGCTTTAATTTATAATTTAACGTGAGGTTCCTGTAATTTTTTATACCTTATTTTTTCCGTTCTTTATATATAATATTTTTTGTGCTGCAGTTATTAGGTTTTCCGTATATGATTCAAAAAATATGCCTAAGTGTTGCACATGTGTTTTACTCACCATTATATAACACAGACAAAACTCCAACACTGCGGATTCAAATTGACAAATCCATTTTGTAAATTATTGAGGAAAGCATTGTTAGTAACAACTGCAGAAGTGAAACAAACTGTCATGTAGCCTCACTCTGGAAGGCTAAAAAATAGGCTTTGACATATACTTGTGTGGGAATGGTAGGCGTGGTTGGGGACTAGCCTAGCATGGAACACAAGACAACAAGAATAAAGAAATTGCAGTACGCCTATTGGCCCATGCTAGGCAAGTAGAATTCAAACCCACCGACACACAGTGCTGCTGTTTTAGTTCTTATATATTTACCGCATAGTCACCTACGGGTTTGGTGCCTTCCCCCTGAGTATAAGAAATATTTGTGAAATATAGTATAACTGCTTTGTATAATATTCGCATAAGTAATGACCACGAGAACGATAAAACCAAGAACCAGTCCAAGAACAGATAAAATAAATACAAGACACTATCTGTCAGTAAATACAGAATGCAAAAGTTTAGTGGTACAGCATATTTCACGAAGCGCCAAACCCCTGCGGGTCATTCAGCACAAATGGTGATGAAGGCTAGTTTCTTTATCCTCTAATTCCGGTCCCAATCTCTGGCCAGTCAGACTGTTGCTGATCGCCTTGCAAAATTTACATTTAGAAAATAAACAGGTAAGCACTAGTTCAGAAATAGATACATGCGGAACAAGTTTTTGTAAGGAGAAATCTGAAGTCAAGACAGCAGTGCCTAAGCGTCCGTAATAAGGCTAATAGATTCTTAGGCTTCAGGTAAATTACATATAAGCAACAGAATCCAAAAGTTATTCCACAGGTCTGCACATTATTAATTAGCAAGGCCTCATTTAGATTATGCGGAACAGTTCTTTTCATTTTACAGAATAAATAAAAGTGCATTAGAAAACATACAACCATCAGCTTTTTCAATTTAATACAATGTTGTATCTTACTGTATCATTCATCAATTAAAAGCAACATTTTCAAAAGAGCTTCACTTATTTTTTTTTTTTTTTTTGCCTGGCGATTTATTGACTTTTTTTGCTATGAAATTTGAAGTGTTGAGTGTAGCCTTTAATAGAATCCCATATAAAGACTGACTTAAA